CTAATTTATTCCATGACTGCATCAGATGACATTCTTGCCTTTACATATCTCTAAACTAATAGAAGTGTGTGGCAATTAGAAATAGATCCGTTCTAAACATTCAGTGAGCGGCATGTTCTCATGCCTGTGTGGGTTTTCTCCAGGTACCTGAGGCTTCCTCCAACAGTCCAAAGACGTGCAGATCGGGGTTAGGTTAATTGGGGACTCTAATTTGACTGTAGATAGATTAGAGTGTGAATGGTTGTTTGTCTCTGTGTGATACACTGGTGACTTGTCAAGGGTGTAAACAGCCACTTGCTCCAAAGGATTAGCAGTGCACAACAGGGATGTAGGGTCCATACAAGGCAACAACATGTACCTCTTACTTTACTGAGTGGGACTGAAATGTGTTGGATACCAGATGCTAAAGTTTAGAATAGCATAGTTGTTTAGGATAAGAGAAATATTGTTGTGATTGATAATCGGATGCAAACTCACCTATAAAGTGAGATGTGCATGTACTTGTGGAGCCCAGGGCGTACGACGCGTCTGGCTGGGTTCAGACACATTTTTTAAAATTAGATTCAGGCTCAGGTCGGTTTCTATCCTGTTGTGTGGGATATCTTAAAAATTTTTTTTACGCTTCATAAGCTGTAATCGGGGAAAACATCGGGCTTGGGTCTGATGCTGACACAGAAAAACAGAATGCCTGTCAGGTTCAGGTCGGTCAGGTTTGGACAGAAAATTACTGCATGTCCATCCAGCACCTCTACACCAATACACTCTTGCTTTGTATGAGGAACACTAACAATGAAGTTCGGACAGCATCAGAACAACTCTATAAAAAAAGGCAAAGTGTCACATTAAATCAACTCATGGGTCAAAGGCAGTTCTAGACAGCACTTTGTTTAGTTTTTGATGGAGAAAAACTTTTGCTCTGTCTGCATAGATTTTTGATCTGGCTCATTTTTTTCTCTGGAGAGCAATTTGCTACCTCTGAATGTGTGAGCAAGTTTTTTTTCTAGTAAGTCAGAACTGTACAACCGTGAGGAAAATAAATCAGATTTGAGCCGAGGCTGGAGAGTGTTAAAGACTCCGCCGTCGCTCAGCTGAAACAGACTGTCATTCAAAGAGCATATGTGTTAAAGGATTACAACACAGCTCAGTTATGGCAGACTGGGGCCTCACACTGTGTCGACTAATGGAAACGTCTAGGCAATAATTCTGTGAGGCAAAAAATAGCGGCAGACGCAGAGCAGAAAACCATTAACAACTGTTAATCATTACACTCACACAGAATGAGTATTATTTTGCATTATTAGCCTATATTATTTTCTTTATAATGCATTATTCAAAAAATGCTTTCTTTCATTGAAACTAATTGCACTTTGACATTTTCTCCTGGTGCTTTTTTACTTTATTATTAGTAGCTCAGCTCTGTAACTGTTCAGTTAAATTAAAAGAGGACAGCTGTAACATATCATATATACGCTGTCAGCAAACAGCTTTAGATGACTCAGTCTGTCTACACTGTATTTTAAAGACAAACACAAACTAACACAGTGTTTAATGAGTCCAACAAGTTACAGGAGAGAAGCTAAACCTTGAATTATCCGCTCTTATCTCAAAAACAGTGGACCTATAACTGTTTTTCTTGTATACAACAATCAACTCTCGCTACGTGTACGTTTCAGCTTAAATAATACGAGCCAAAATGTTCGCAGTCCCAGCATTAAGCAGTTTTTTGAAACTCTTTCCCATTTGCAGTTTCAGGGTCATGGCTTGTGCAGAGCCTGTCCAAGGCCCTTTTTGTCACTGCAATAAAAACTGCTTTGGTCCTCTGGTCACTGGGGAAATCAAGTCAAACTTCAAGAGGCCTGAGTTCAGACTCATTCCTCTAATAGGGTAGCCCGAATCCAGTCATGGGCTGGAATTGTTCCTCAATGCCTCCCGGTGAAATGCATTCCTTCACTCTCATATTTGTAACCAATAGACAAATGAAAAGAAAAATGCCCAGTACTGTGATTATGGTGTCTTTTCAAATCAGTGTTTGAATGAATGTGCCCATAACTACTGGTTAGTAGAATATATATATATATATATATATATATATATTATAAAGTGTATATATATATATATATATATATATATATATATACATATACATATAAGTATATATACACTATATGCCTAAATATGGAAAAATAGAAGGAAAATACTGTCTTTAAATAGGCAAATATTTCACTTTGCTTATTCAAACTGCACAGTAACTTAAAATTCAGAGTCCGTTTTTAAAGGCTGATGCAAGACTGATGATATCAATTAATGAGCAAGACAAGAAGAGCATATAATACTGCATCTACTTGAATGTTCTATTTCACAGCAATGGTCCCTCACAGCAAAAAGCCATTAAAGACAAAAAGGAAAATTATATATACAGATTATCAAATTGTGTTGTTGCAGTTCATTCTGGGAAGTGGGAAGTGTCTAATTAATGAAAAGAAATGAGGATAAACGGTTATATGCCTCTGCCAAACAGTCAAGTTGCATGTCTGTCCTGAGTCACATAATATGTACTTCATGGGAACTTAATAACATGTATTGATTGTTTTTATCATAATTAACACAGTAATTCTTAAGTTATGGCCAAAAATGAGGTTTGTCAGTGTGACTTTTGACCTTTGACCTCCAGAATCAATTAATTTATTTTTGAGTCCAAGTGAACAATTGTGCATAATTTGAAGAAATTCCTTCAGGGTGTTTGTGAGATATCACACAGACGTATTTTTCCATATACCCATCATCTTAATATTCTCACCTCTAATTCTTCTCCCTCCCTAATCCCTCTTCACACCTATGCTTCCTTTCACCTCCTCCATCCTCCCTTACTCCTCTGTACATTGCTCCCATCCTCTCCTCCTTCAGAAAGCGTCTGACACATGAGACAGATCTCTCACACTAAAGTCTCCCTGTTCCCACCTCTTTGATCAGCCGACTGCTCTGGTCACATTTTTTGAGTCCGGATGTATGAGCTAGTTGCACCTTAAAAAAACAAAGTTCCTCAATCCTGAAAAGGGAGAAAACATTCTTGTCTTGCATTCTGATATACAGTACATCCTTGGTTGTTTCTAATGGATCCATAATTATTTACTGTAAAATCTGTGGGAAGACTCCAGTGTGTGTTTGTGTGTGAAAAGCTTCACACATGTCAACCTATTATTAGCTAAATGAGCCCAGGCTGTTTTGGACAAGTAAATACTGTGCTATTGTTTGGACATGACACAATAGCTAGTATAGGCCTAAACTGCCAGGATGCCTCACATTAGTTTATGCCAAAAATAAAATTTTCTTTTTCACAGATTTGCAAGAACTCATCAACTAACACATTACATTTTATAAATATAAAATGTTTGCATCATAAGAACTTTTTAAATCTACATTTGCGTGTGGTTCTGGCACCAATTCTATTGATCTCATTTCTCCAAATTGCAACTTTTTCTTTTTTACTTGCTTTACACTGATCTATGTAATGATCCTTTATTTAAAACAAAATGCTCAATACACAGATACCTGAAGAAAATCGACAAAAGTGCAGATTTAAGACCAGTGTCACATTGGAACCAACACCGACTAGGCAAGACAGTACATTTAAAACCAGGGATTAAGGCTTCAGACTCCCTCGACTAATTACACCTTGCAGAAATGTGATTAGGGAGAGCAGTCACAGTAAGCAGGGCACAGACATAGACCTGCAGTTATGGCAGGACCACGATAAGAAGCCAACAAAGAGACAGACAGTCTGGTACAAATCACTGCTCACCGTCTACTGGTGGATGGACATGTAATGGAAACCATCAAGGGGTTAAATGAGAAAGAGGATTAGCGTCGTATCCAGATAATGGTCTAAAATGTCCTGGCAACGGCAGCAGGAAGAAACACAGATCCTGGAGACGACTCACTCACTCTGGACTTTTCACAGTATTTTCATCAAATCGTTTGCAACACAAGACGCACAATGAGATTTTAAGGAAGAGAAATATAATTGTGTGCCTCAAAGGGAGAAAAATGAAGGTAAAATTACTAATGTATTGATCTTGCATCTCTAAAAGATGCTAAATGGATTTTCAAGATTTTATATTTCACTCAAATAAGTTGAAATTTACCTCTATTTTCAGGGAGATTTTCATGCATGTCTTAACTCAAGGTTGCATTTCTTTCAGACATAACTCTTTCCTGTCCAAATATAAATGTTTTTATTAAATATTAGAGATTTTAAAAAAAAACATATTCACTGAAATTCCAACACAAAACACTACTGGAGAAGATTTTTGATCCATTTTCAGAAAAATATCAGAGCATTTATTTTTCATTTTCTGTGTCTAAACTGGACATCTCAGACCACACATCTGACTTACTGAGCATTATCCATTATTGAACCTCCAATAAATAATACTTAACATCTTTCAGAAGCATTTTTACAGTTGAACTATTTACGCTCTGGCTTGTGGGAACATTTAGTTCACGTTCATTTCCTATGCTCCCTCCCCTGCCAGAGAGGGTCGAGAATAAAAAATCCCATCAGAATGAATAAATACATCTGATTAAAGTTTGATGGGCCACCGTGTAACTTGGCCATCTGCACCGCCCATCGTCCTGGGCAACCTACGCATTTCCACAAAGGTGCAGGGGGGTGACAGCTCCACTGTGCCACATAGGACGGAGCTCAGTGAATGAGCCCCAAACTGCATCACCATAGACCCAGACAGGTAGATTATCACAGGACTAAAGCGGCGATCACAGCCCTCAACAACCGGGAAGCTGCGGATGAGCGCACGGAAGCACCAGGAAGGACAGATTATTGTCTGAGGCGCAGCTACTACAACAGTGCAGCAATTACAACAATCTAAAGTAAAGCCATCCCTGCTCAGGCTGCCACATTCCGCAGGATGAGAGAGGCTCAGCCCGCAGCGCACACGCCATGATGGAGAGGAGGAGAGAAAGGGCATCGCTGCTGTGCCTACCTCACTCAGTGTCTCCATCCCACTCAGGCTTGTGGTCCTTATGCTGCTGCCGCCGCTCCAACATCCTCCAGCACTGTTGTTCCACAGTGAGGAGGGGGAGCACAGGGGAAACGTGATGGTAGTGGAGTCGGGCTGACGCGCAGCCTGACGAGGCGTAGACGGCCAATCAGAGAGTAATCCGATGGATCCCTCACCAATCCGCTCAGAGAGGAAAAGTGCGGATCGTGTGTGGACACAAGCAGCAGGGTAGATTGTCTCTGTGAGAGGATTTCACTCAACTCCGGCCAAGTCAAACCAAAGATCACATTCTATCTGCTGTCCGGCTGGAAACATCTCACAACACAATCAATTGAGTGCAGGGGTCTTCAGTTATGTACTTTAAGTTATTTCAAAAGAAGCAGGACCTTTCTAAGATTATAGATGCATCTCTAAAACTCAGTATGTTCAGTAAAAGGTTTTTGACTGTGCTAAAAGGCTAATGCGA